CAATATCAGGGACTCTCCCCTGGTTATTTACGTCGGCCGACATTCTGCATCGCCGTTTACAAATCTTGTAAATCACACTGCATCTGTGCCCATGGGACCCACACGCATGTTTTTGTTTTATGTCAACTTGGACGCCAGGCGTCTCACAAAAATAACTGCAAGCTTATCCAGAACCCATTCGTTGAGGTAACTCAAGACGACATGTGTCCCTTGATACTTTCGCAGGCTAAAAGACAACATGAAAACTCCGAGGATGAGCAACCTATGGACCTCTGTTATGGACCCTCGACGCAAGCGTCCTCTGAGGAACCCCGGCCACCACTCGTTCAGTCAGACGGTGCCAATATCGCAGAATCAGACGAATTGATGTCGACCGTGGTATTTCTATTAAGCGCCTGACGGCATACAGAGCCTTGCAGTACCCAGCCAAGGGCTGAGTCCGCGGAAGGGTTAGGCACGGCGTGTGACTACCGCGGCGGCTAAGTCTGCTCCAGAAACAAGACCACACAAGTTAACCAGGCCGGATGACTCACTCGAAAATCAGCAGTGAGAGTACTCAGAGCGCCACAATCTCGGCCCAGTCCCGCCTTAGAGAAGAGGGGGAAAGACACCAGCGCGATTAGTATTATTGTTCTGTACAGAAGCCTGGCGGCTGTCATGGCCCCCAACGCGGAGCCGGCTGTAGGCCCGCGCGCTAGGGTGACGTGGTCGTAAGGGTCACGCGGGAGCCAGTGTCAGGCTGGCCGGTTGATTGGGTGATAGTGGAGTTTGTGGACGTCTGCGATTGGCTGTCCTCAGGGCTGTATGTGCTCACGTTCTGGCGCTCGAGAGACGTGACCAAATGATCCCTAGCACGGTGTAGGCAGAAGGTTTAATGCTAGCTGAGGCGCTACAGACGTCCGATTTTGCTGATGAGTAGGTGGGATCATTGTCTCAAACTGCGTAGGCGCCTGGCAAACCTCTCAGCGGACGCCCTGTTACTGCTGGCAACGTAACGCGAACAATGAGACTGCTTGAAAGGCTTGACTACCTCAACCGTCCGGTCTAGGCGCGGCATATTTTGCGTAGTCCGGAGCATCAGACGTGTAAACCAGTTTGGCAGGAATCATTCGGGGAACACCGCACTTTTGTCCTTTACGCAAGTCCACACTGACGACGTCAGTTTGTGGCAGGATGAATTTCGGGCCAGAATGTTTTAGTTAGATTGAACAGCAGCCCAATTATCCGAGATGTATAAAAGAGCTAACACGCGTACGGGCCTTTCGTACGACGCAGCGAAAGCCGGGCAA